AAACATCCTCGATGTACCTTAATACAGTCAAAGATCCTTTCTGTATGATAATTAGTTTTCGATTTTATGTGTAAATTTTAGGCGTGGGTGAAAACTGTTAAATGTATGGGATATCATCCAGGGATCGGGATACCGATGTAAGTTGACAATTTAAACAATTGATTTTGTAAATTACATCAGATTTTCTTGTTACTGGTGTGGGATCTTTAATTTTTCGAAAAAAGTGTGTGAATTGTTTTATAGTTTTTGAAAGCTATTTTAAAGTTACCAGAAGAGTTAATTAGTATATAATACTAAAATAATTTATATAGCGCATAATGCTGATATTCGCTTCGAACCATTTTTCCTTAATAAAAATCATTTGCATGAATTATCTTTAGAATGGTTTCTTCAGTAACTGAAAACAGGTTGGTTATGTATGGTATGATATATATACGGTATTCTCTAATGATCTAACGATTGGATTAGCGAGAAATGTACACTGTTCAATGAACCCGAGGGATTCCTTTGTAAAGCTACAAAACCGTGAAAGCACTGGTCACTAGTTCACGACCGTTAAGAACGCACTGCCTGCAATTTCGCCCAACGTATTGTGTGTAATCAAATCATTACAATTGTAAATGAATGATTGATAACCGTTGTCGTCCGCACTAAAGAGTTCCATTCGGCTTGTACGAATCAAAGCATTCCATCAGGATTTTCTTGATATTTGGGCCAGATGAGGGTTAAGGCATCACTGAACGCGTTTCTGCTCAATTTGGAACATATTCGACGTTTGTCTTCCGTTCCATGGGGTAATTTAGCATCACATTTCCTGAATCAGGGTTTCCAAATCACCTTGGAAATCAGCAGTTCCGGAGAAGGGGCGAAATATTCGATCCTCCTTCTTTTTATCTCTTAATGACTCACTTGTATCAGGATCCACATTAGAATAAAAATGGTCCTGTTTCGATTCGTTTAAAGTATTTTATTTATGTTTTCAGATTGAATGAAAAAAACATTCAATATTTTTCGGGTCAATTAAAATTAAGATTCATTCATTGAGATATTGACTGAGAAAAATGTTCTACATGTGATGAACAAAATACAGCGGCACATCTCTATTCACGCCAGTATTTTAAACAACATTAGATAATAATAATTGTTTTATTGATTAAAAAACCTGTATAATCCATTATTGCTCCCGAGCGTTATTTTTTAAGAAAACAGGAAAAAATGTGTACATAGAGTTTCATTTTATATGAAAAAATGTAATACTAATAGGAAACCAATTAGCGAATAAATTCAAGGAGGAAAATTAAGGCGAGTGGGGTAAATATTTCAAACAGGAGGTTATGACAGCATTCCTCTCCCTCATGAAATTGACTTTTGTCGAGTATGCGAGATGCTGGTCGTTATTGAACACCGGTGATAGCAATTTTCCAATGCCAATTACAAAATGCACACAACTGGCATGAACATCCGCAGCATTCTGCATAATCAGTCGAATTTTAATTGAAAAATATTTTTATATCATTTGGGGTACAAAAATTAATAATTCTGGGGTATTCTGTATAGAGAAGAAATGGTTTAAAAGGGTCGAAGGTTGTTAATTCAGCTACAGAGAAAAACAATTTCTAGAACTCACTTGCTTGTAACCACCTGACATATACCGAGATAAATGAAGTTATTTTTCGGCCCTTTGTGGTCTTTTTATTTCAGAAACGAGTTAACGAACTATTAAAAATTTATATTACGTTGAGTACATTAAGTAAATAACGATTGGTGAGAACGGTGCCGTCGTGTGCGGACATGCTAATGTGCACTCTGTTGGCTTTGGCCTTTTCTAGCGGAAAAAATTGATTTCTTTGAGTAAAAAATTAGCAGAGGTCCAAAAGGTCCAAATCCCTAGAGACTCCTCTCTAACTGGAGTGGAATTACATTGCTTTATTTCCCACAGTAAGTCCTTTAATTGTGAAATTATTCAATTTCTTGACATATCTTTGCCGTGCCAACTGTAGAACCGGTACAAGGGTCGGTCTGATAACATCCTGGGTTCAGGGCAGTGACACTGGCGACCAAAAACAAAACAAAGAACAAAACAACAAGCAGCTCGTTTTGACCTTGGATAAGGTCTGGAGACAGGAGGTGTCAGCTAACTTCTGTATATCAACATTCAAATCTCCAAAACTATCGTTACAGCCTGACAAAATTTCTGCTACACCACATCTACGAACCTCTTAATGCAAACGACGCCTAAGTCCTCAAAACACCCAAGAAGTTCGCCTGGATCGTCAAGCCCGTATTTTCATTCCTGTGTAAAAGCTCCAAAGATGTCTCTATCGGCTGTCTCGACAGTAAGTGATCCGGGAAATGACTTGGTTCGTAAGCTTAGCCTAATGGCAGATGAAAAGTTCTCCTGTTTACCTACAAAACAGGACTTGAATACATTAAAGGAGGGAAAACTCATAAGGTGGGGTTGAGATGGGGAGTTGATGTCCGAGCGGATCGAGGTCACGATAGCTCAGGTGGTAGAGCAGCGGCGTATCTAGCCGAAGGTCGTTGGTTCGAATCCCTCTCGTGCCATTAACTTCTTTCATCTCAGCTAAAAACCTTAATTAATTTTAAAGGAGAACATTGATAGAATGTTTGAAGAAATCAAAACGTCGAAAAAAGAAAATATGGAGCTGAGGAATGGTGTGGCCCGCCTCACTGAAGTGGATAGAAGGAGTGAAAGACAGGTGGAAGCTTCGGATAATTTTAGCCAAAGAAATAATTTAATTTTTTACGGTATATCTTATAAATGCGATGACAACCTTGAAGAAATTGTTCGCACTTTTATGGCGGAAGTTTTACAGCTATCCAAATCCTTTGAGATTGCAGCTGTGAAACTTTTAGGCCGCAAGAATACTTTTCCGTGTCCTTTGCTGGTCAATCTCGCGTGCACATCGGATAAATGGGAAATATTTAAATCTGCCCCCAGACTAAAAGGCACGAAATGGAGAATATCAGCAGATTTTTGCTACATCACTCGCATTAAAATAAGCAAACAAGTACAGCTACGAAGGAACATTAAGCAAATGAAACCGGACACTATCTGCATTCTGAGTAAAGACTTATTACACATAAATGGTTGCCGTTTTCACTGGGACAATATTGTCGGCCTTACATACCAAAAAGTACCAGGATCGGACAAGCTAGGTGAAGTTTTGGGGATGGATGTCACGAGTCTTTTGGAGCAAATTTCATCGAACCCAAAACGCCAAGATGGACGAGGTGATAATCGCACTCAGGGACGTTTGGCGCTTCAAGATCTTCAGAAATCTCCAAATCAAGCGAAGAAGCTTTGTGGTCTCTTCATTTCAGAAACGAGTTAATGAACTCTTAGAAATTTATATTACGCTAAGTATATTAAGTAAATTATCATTAAAATTTAAATTATCATTAAAATAAATATTTATCTCTTACCAAATAATTTTATTCATTTCAGACGATTTGGAATCTTAATTGAAATAAAAGCATAATCGCTTATTTTTTTCAAAAACAATGGCAACCCGAGGGTTGATAAGACCTCCGCTGTTGCGAACCCTCGTAAAAAAATTAAAATGTTAATTACCTATTTTAAGAGACTCTTGTTGCACATATGGAGGAGTAGCCTGGAGAGCAAAATTGCAAAGCAGGGGTTTCTCCTCTTTCATCCTCGTGCAGATTTAAAGTTTCTATTGACACCCTCCAAGTCCTTACATCCGCCCCACATGTACATTTGTATATTGTCCTCCAAAGTGTAATTGCAATCCGACAGCTAAAGGATGAAAAAGAGCCAACAATGGTAAACATGGATTTGTCAGAGTTTGGATACGAGATTCTTCTAGGAAGCAGATCCGTGATTTTCCTACAGTTCGGATAGACAACTCGTGGCAGGAAATATGGGACACAAGCACCACGGAAAGGCTATCCCACGAGTTTCTACCCAGCTTTACGGACAGAGCACCGTTTCAACACAGATTTCTGGATCGCCCAAATACTTACAGGACCCAAATAGATTACCTTGTACCCACATTTATTAGTTATTTATTAAAGTATTGTATATGTAATCGAAGTCACGATAGTTCAAGCGGTAGAGTAGCGGCGTATTTAGCCGAAGATCGTGGGTTCGAATCCCGCTCATGACACTGACTTTTTTATCTCAACCGATTGTTCTTTCTACACAGAAAGAATAATTAATTGAAAGAAGTAACTTGGTCAATTGACCACTAAAACGTAAATGGATTTTATATATAGTTTTATTAGAAAATGTATTCAAAAGGATTAATCAGCAATGGGGAGACCTATTAGAGTAAGGATTAATAATAAGAAAAATGAGTGGTGTTTATAATAAGAAAAATATTTACCTTCCTTCCTTGCGCCAACCCTTTTTAAGCCAAGGTCGAAGAAAGCCGTTAAAGTAACTAATAAGATCCCTTAAATTTGCATACCACAGGGACTAATTTAGTGGCCGGATCCAATAGATGGGTAAAAAAACTAATTTATAAAAAAAAGTAATAAATTTTTGTGGAATTTGGAAGATTCTTTTAAAATCTCATTTTCCGTTTGAAATCGATGAAAGCCCTTCTGAAGTTCTGATATAAGGCGGCTTGGAAAGATCGAATGTAGAAAAAAGAAAATATCGAGCGGTGAAGAGAGTGAACAACCTTTTATTGCCCTTATTTCAATAGAATCAGAATTTCAAATAAATAAAAGGCTTTTTTCATTTGTGCTTTCACATTGCGGAGAGTAAAGAGGGGAAGAGTAAGAGAAAATGTTATATGGTTGGGATATATTATGAAATTTTTATTCTGATTTTGTAGTGATTGACTGGGAACTACGGAGGGGAGGACAATGTAATTCGTCGAATGGAAATATAAATCGAAAGACGATAAATTTAGTATTATTGTTATTAACACCATCAATATCTAAATATTAATTGTGTTAATATATTGGCATTTTCTAATCTTACAAGGGATTTATTTACTAAGTATCACCTGATTCCGTGCGATCCGGTAGATGCACGAGCGCGTGATCCTTCGTACAGCATAACTGGCAAAGGTCCTTCTTGATCCTGAAGCTGATGGGACATTCTCACGAATAAATAGGCCGTGACGCCAAGCGGCAGAATGTACCTGCAACAAAGAAAAAACATTATGATAGATTATGAAAGGCAAAACCTAGGCACGGAAAACTTTTAATTCGTTACGTTTCAAGATGAAAAACGTAAAAAAAATATTTTTAATTGCCAGGAATGAACAAGTTGCTTATGGGATTAGAGCCATGACTCGAGCAAAGAGAATTTTTAATCTTCCTCTCGTATCTATATGCCCTTTCTGGAAGAATATAATTTTTTAAACATTCGCCTGACCCACTCCTTAAATTAAAAATGGCAGTAAATATAAATAAATGTTATAATAAAAGTGAATCACTGAAGTCACTAAAAGTGAATTTATATGAACCGATTAATAAAACTCCAGACTCAACAGGTCTTCACAACAACCAATAACAATAATCCATTATCTTTTTTTTTCTTTTTTCAATTAATTAATCTTTTATGTAAGGTTTTGGTTGAAAAGAAAAAGCTAGTGCCACGAGCGGGATTCGAAACCACAATCTTCGGCAAAATACGCCTCAGCTCTATCACTTGAGCTATTGTGACTTCGATCCACTCGGACACCAACCTCCCATTTCAACCCATAACTTTTCTAAATTTCCCTCCTTTTTGCTATTTTTCATTAATTAATTGAAATATGTAATTTGGTCAATAGACCACGAAATATAATGGATTTAATGAGTAGAAAGAAGTATAACTTCGCAAACAGCTCCCCGTGGCCACTTCATATGTCGCCGAGGATTGAATCCTCATTAATCACAACATTAAAAAATGGCAAAAGGGAGGGAAAATTCGAAAGGTTGTAGGTTGAGTTGGAGAGTTGGTGTCCGAGTGGATCAAAGTCACGATAGTTCAAGTGGTAGAGCAACGGCGTATTGAGCCGAAGGTCGTGGGTTCGAATCCCGCTCGTGACACTAGCTTTTTCATTCAACCAAAACCTTACATAAAAAGATTAATTAATTGAAAGAAATAGTAATAATAAAACCTATTATTTAAATGCTTAAATAATTACACACATTCACAAAAAGCTAGTAGGTTAAGTAAATAGTTTTACAGTATTATGTGTATATATGAATAGCATAATAGTATTATTTAGTAACAGTAGTAAATAGAATAGTAGTATAAATCGTATGAAAAACGAATTCACAAAAAGTAAAGATTTTGAATATATACAGTTTTAACGTAAGTTATTAATTGTATTTTTCATTTTATATTAAAAATCGGGGATAAGGCCTATTGAAAGAAATCCCTACTTAGAGACATCAACTAAACTTTTATCTCTCTACAATATTAAAAAAGTTTTAGCTGAGGTGTAAAAGAGAGGACCTATACGATTGGAAAAAAGTTATCTTCATTAAAACATTAACGGCTGAAAGAGGAAGGGAGCCGATTGTTCTATATTAAGAGTAACCATGGAACGTTGCTAACTGAACATACGCATGGCTTAATGGATCGTGTACAAAATAGCACGATCAACAGTTCAGACTCAGATGGGGAAAAACTTTTATGTTTCCGTTTTCATTTCACAGAAGTCCTCGAGCAATGCAACAGTTATACTAAGATGCCAACCCTTAACATCGGTAGTTTTGATTGGTTCATAAAGATGGCGTACACTCCCAGTCGGCCATAAATAAATTCCTCAAGTCATTTCCCACTGGAACAACTGCTTCAGACATTCTTATATCTGTTTCATCAAAAGTCGAACCCGGGACCTTTACCTTACAGTGATGAGCGCCGTGTCAACGCTTAAACCTTTGCGGCCACCGACGCCCTATTATATTATATTATTTTATATTATACAACAATATAAAAGTTAAAAGACAACCGTGTTAAAAAATTTAGAAAAACTATTATAATAAGAATGTTATTAAAATAAAATAAATGAAACTAAAATAATTCGCGAACACTCTACGACCAAGGTATGGTCTTGAAGAAAAAAGCAAATTCAGTTGTCACTGCCAAGCTTTCGACTTATTTTAAGGTCATCATCTGGGCCTAAATTAATTTCACATTATGAGAAAGATACTTTGTATTTGTACAATTGTTTTTTATTATGTAAAAATCGCTTGTCCTGTCTGGTGTTTCTCATTACAAATATTAAAAAATTACATGAAGTACAAAATAAGTTCCTTAGGTTGTGTACCAATTCCCCGAGATACACTAAAATTGATCTCTTGTATACATACTTACAAATGGGCTTTTTTGCAAAAACACTGGCACCCTGAGTATAACCTCTGCTGTTGAGAAGAAATTACATTATTTTTAATAATCAATAAAACCTTTATTTCAATAATTAATTTTTGTATTTTAAATAACTAATTAGCTCTGACTCCAGGAAGAAAGCCCATTTGAGTCAACAATAATCTTAGTAAAAATTACTAGATGGATATTTATGCTCGTTTGTTAGGTTTGTATGTTGTCTGTTGCTATTAAAAATAAATTAATACGCTTATAGTCATTCATTGACCACCATTATCGTTAGAGCAAACGACTTAACTTAAAATACCGAGAGTCAATATATGCAAGAAAAGAGATACAACTGCAAAATAGGTAGTTTTTAGGGGCAGTAGCTGGAATTTTAAAAATTTTGTATTTTTCCTTAATTCTTGGTCAAATGAAAGACAATATACATGAGTCAAGTTTTTATAGCCATCAACTCTAATGGCGAGTACTTAATACATAAAGAAAAAAAACCGTAAACTTCCATCTATCTCTCCTGCAAAATATATATATATATATTTTTTTAGAGTTGTGTCTTACTTTTCTTGTTGGTGTGCGATACATACAATTCGCTTTCAAAACAGAGCGTATGCATCGACTGGTCACGTTGAATGAAATATTACTTAGCGCCTGCTAAATTTTTCGTGCGGGGATGGGTGAGCAATGGGAGAAAAAAGGAGCGGTGAAATGGCGAGCGAAGAAACGCTAAAATCTTGATTGTTTTTAGAAAGAAAGAAAGAAAGAAAGAGAGAGAGAGAGAGTCTGTAGTAGAAATAATTTTTAATATGCTCCCGTTACAGAATATATTGAGTTGTGTGATACAGTGCAGGAAAACAGTTAAGTCGCGCGTGTTTAGCATCCACAGCGCCGTTCTCAGGTATTTCTTTCTACATCCCAATGCACAATTTCTGTTTTGTTGTATGTTCTGTTTGTGTGTACGTGGGTATGAGATAGATAGAGGGAGAGAGAAAGAGAATTGGTGTGTGTGTGTGTGTGTGTGTGTGTGTGTGTGTGTGTGTGTGAGAGAGAGAGAGAGAGAGAGAGAGAGAGAGAGAGAGAATTTGTGTTTGTGTGTGTGAGAGAGAGTGAGATTATTTGTGTGTGTGTGTGTGTGTGTGTGTGTGTGTGAGAGAGAGAGAGAGAGAGAGAGAGAGAGAGAGAGAGAGAGAGAGAGAGAGAGGAGATTTTTTCACCCTGCTGCAACCGTACTGTCTTCATCTTTGTGCCTTCCTGCTGCATCTGCACCATTTTGCACCCCTGCGACTATTTTGTGACAGAGAGAGTTTCTTCAGTCCAGGACTCGACGGCTCGTTCCAACTCACCGAGAAGAAATCGTGAGGACCGAGAAACCACTATTATCAGATCTTCACTTCAACTTAAAATATCTATCCTCACTCTCTCTCACTTCATATTATTTTATTGAAGCCTTTAATTTCGTTATTGTTTAAGTAGTTATCGTAGCGATCCATTTAAGTTAGTTTAATTTCTCAACGTTTTCTTTTAAGTTTTAGTTTTATTTTCAAGTTTTAATTAAATTTAGGACCATTTTAATTTTCCATGATATATTATTTTAGTTGTTTTTCAATTATTTACATTCTTCAACCCTTTCATGCTTAAGTTTATGATTAGTAATTTAAAGATGTATATGAAACCTTCCTTTTCAGCATTTCTTTAAGATATTTTAACAATATTTCATTAAATTATCATGGAAATTACTTCTGGGTTCAGGTAAGCCAACTGGCAACTGGCGAAAATCTAGGTGTAGTGAATGTTACCTTAAGGTTCCCATGTCAACCAATCATATTTTATTTATAAGCGGGACACTCGTTGCTCTGGACACAAGCTTCCCAAAATTACGGTTGATGTAATAAATGCTAATTCGTCCGTGTTCAAAGCGCTCAATTTACTAGCTCCTGATTTTAATATTGCCTTTTTGGCAGAGCCCTCCTTTTATAATGGATAGCGGTTCTCTATATACTCGGATTTTGAATCCTCAATTCTTTCGAATCGGCCTTTTAGATCCAATATATTTCTGCTTTGCAGAATCTCCATCGTTGAAAAGTATTTTTCGACTTAACCGATTAATAATCTAATGTTTTCCGTAATTAATTAATTCTCCAAACATAGGTGGGAACTATATATATCCGAGAGGGAGACCTCTTTCATTTTGTGGATGAGTGCCTCCCCCATTCTTTCAGAAATCAGGTTCACTGTTTTGGAAACAACGAGAGTTTTGATTGCTAAACTTATATCTCATGATTTGGAATAAATAAATTATAATATATTAAACATAAAACGTTTTCTTTTCTTTTTTATACTAGCTTTTGCAAATTTATTTTCTTTATGTGTGGTGTTTAGTGACCGTTATTGATTATATGGAGATCGTGAGATGCAGTCTAGTGTGACGTAGGTTTAGATAAATATTTTCTTTATAGTGCCGACGTTTCGATCTTTATTGAGATCATTTTCAGGGCCTGGGATTTATTAACATTGTTTAAATTATATAGATATAGTAGGATGTGAAAAAATGAATTTATGCAAAGCTAGATATTTTAGACTCAATCAAAGTATTTGTACTCACTCAAAGTGTTTATTTTCTGTGTAGATGTATCATTCTTGTGTGTCGTGTTGAGAGTGTCAGTGAGATATTGCTGTTTTATGTATATTCACATTGGATTGTGAAGGGGTTGGGTAAGAAGTCGGGACAGAACGACAATTTTTATATGAGGAGTCGGCTTCTTTGAGGTGAAAGGAGCCGACCATAGGAAAAAATGGGTAATGGTTCGACCTGATTATCCT